AACACAGGTTGTTCCGCCATGTTAGCTTGCAGGATAATTTACGCTTCCTCTGGAATCGGGTTTGTGACATGGGCTCTGCTTAGCTTTTTGGCACACCGAATTTGCAAAAGGCTAGCAGACACTCTCTTCGCACGCAGAGCCGGAGACATCTAGTTAAGTAGCAAATCCTTCAGTATCACTTCATCTGATTGTTGTCTCTCAGGTCGTGCTCCAGCCCTTTATGAGTAGTTTACATCTGTAAGCCATAATCTGGCGTCCACATAGACTTGCTCATCAGTATCGGTAGCACAGGATATAACTAGAACGCTTACCGCTGCGATACCTATGAGAATTCCCTCTCGTCACTGTTACGCGATGAAACCTTTGGAGATTGCGAGTAAGAAAAGGAGCAGGGCAGGCGAAATCCGGATAGATGCAAGATCGGAGCTGCCCTTTTCAAGTACGAATCCGGATATCTCCGCGGCCGTTGATGGATGACTCAGGACCTCTCGAGATGTTTTGGATCTATTTGGCAGCATCGTCTACAGTGTCGCTAAATGGCACGGTGACATCCTTGTCACGGAGACCACGGCATCAAGACTCGACTACAATGGCCGTGGCTATTTCCCATGGAATTAAACGCAGTCTAGTATATGCGTACTATAAGTTGTAGGGGCATTCAGTATTCGACGTGGACGAAACGTTTACCGGTAGGCGCAAAACGCTAATCGTAATTCTAGCGATCGGGTTTCTCAAGTCAAAGGTACAAGTAACCAGCCAAACAAAAACGTCAGGCTGAGCTTTACACCAACACGGCTCTCCTTAGCCTCAGCGTCTCACTACAGCTAATAGATGGCTAACTGCCGCTTCTCTGAATTTCGATCAACTTCAGTATTATGGCACTCGTGCTAGCCATCTTTCCGTTGGGCGATCCCCGACGATTACTTCACTTGGAAGCACTCTGATTCTTATACGCCTCCTCAGTCTTCGAATATGCCTGCTTTATACTATCGGTCATCCAATCTAGTCCCAACTGCGTAATCGTCAGTGGCGGTGCCAACATGATGTGATCGCCAGCGCGGCCGTCTGCTGTGCCGCTTCCAGATAAGATAGCGACGCCGCTTTCGTGTGCAAATTGTCTTAGCTTTGCTCCGAATGCAAACCCCTCGGCTAATGGCAGCTTAAGCCGCTTATCCGCGACGAATTCCATCGCCCAGAAGAGGCCGCGGCCCCGAATATCCCCCACAAATTCGGACTCTGCTAATAAAGCGCGCAGCCTCGTTTTCATTCTGTCGCCTAGCCTTTTGCAATGATTCAAACAACCGTTGCTGCGTATGACACGCTGCACGGCAAGAACGGAAGCGCAGCTGATTGGGTGTGCTTGGTAAGCGTGCCCGTGGATGAAGCCTCCAGCCTTCTCGATCGTTTCGTCAACGGTGTGATTGATGAGCGTTGCTGCCAGGGGCAGATACCTGCCGGAGAGTCCCTTCCCCAGAACAACAATATCGGGGCAGACAGCGCCCTCAGATTCGAAGGCAAAATAGGTTGCAGTGCGGCCGCTTTCACACATAATCTCGTCGAGAATGAGGAGCACTCCGTATTCGTCACAGACACGGCGTACGCCCTCGAGATAGCCTTTAGGAGCTATGATGCACCCGGCAGTTGAGTCTCCGACAGTCTCCGCCACGAAAGCCGCGACATTCTGCCGCCAATCCTGCGAAACTCGGCTTCTACCTCATTTACCAGCCTGGCAGTATACTGAGCCTCGGTCTCGTTGCTTCTTTGGTGGCGATAGGCGTACGCGGGCTTGACGAAACTCACGTCGAGTCTGTCGAAGACTTTCTCATGAGGCCCCGTCCTGCCGGGATTGTCGCTTAGACACATGGCTCCGATGGTGTTTCCATGGTAGGATCTCTCCCTAGACACGAAGTGTGTTCTATGAGGGCTTTTGTTGGCGCGATGGAATGCCACAGCAAGCTTCATGGCGGCCTCACGGCGTCACTTCCGGAACTCGCAAAGTACGCCTTATATAGGCCCAGAGAAGGGGCTCTCAGAAGCAGGAACTCGGCCAGATCCTTCGGAGGAGAGGTTGTGTGCATGATGGGGTGGGCGTAAGCAGCTTTGTCTAGCTGTTCCTGGATAGCGAATTTCACGGTCTCGTCGCCATGGCCGATGGTCGCAACACCACAGGCGTCCAAAACAACACGACCATCATTCAGTGTCGAGCAGGCCCCTGATGCTGAGGAAACTAATGCAGGGTATTTCGTGGGTTGAGTGTGGAGGAGAGATGCCTCCGATAGGCTCTCCGTGATGCTCTGAGCCGGTTTCATGGCTACGGAGCCTGTATGCTTTCGGTTGTAATGCGACAGCACCCTGATCGAAACCGAATACAGTATTTCTACTCCATAGGTTGACACCACTGGCCAAATCGCGTCGTATTAATACATACTACAATTTCTGAGCATAAATTTCCTGCTCAGTCAAGGCAAATGGGGAGAAGCAAACACTACTGGTGAGCCTGAATAATGGCGGCTATTCCCGCCGAAGGGTGTCCCGCCACCTTGCTGACGCGTCTGCATCCGTTTTGTGCTGCCGCCTTTTGCTTCGTTTGTTGTGTTCGATCCTTTCCGCTGCCGTACTAGTGGTCTTGTAGATAGCTAGCAGCCACAACGGCGAGAAATAGCGGTTAGCCTTGCCCTTCTTGGTACTTAGATCAACTAAAAGCACCGGCTGCACCCAATTCGGTTTTTACGGGACCAGGAGCGATCTTCTAGCCATACTTCTACATCATGTATCCTATTTACATGGGAAGCACAAGCAATGAAGACGTCGACATGCGCGTCGACGATACGGAAATCGAAGAATGGCGACGTAACTCTGAGTTGAATGAATTCAAAATGGAGCTGCAATTGCAACAAAGCATTGCGAATCAAGAAGCAAGTCTCACGAAACTGCGGACTATGATTAGTGGCAATACTGAGTCTGTCTCGGAATTTC